CTGTTTCATAAGCATGCTGGGTGTAATGGGTCTCTGTGCATCTGATTCACATCTCAGGCGAGGGGGAATTTCAGAGTGAGTCATTCTTGTAAAAAATCGAATTCTCAATGACGCAATGTTAAATATACGAATGGGGCACAACTACAAAAATAAAATAACAAATGGACAATCCATCATTAATTTTAAAATAAAAATAGCTGATATTGTCATGGTATGTATCATCTCCCACATCCATAAACGCTACGCCCCGGATAGTGTAGTATATTCACAGTTCAACAGTTCCTTACAGAATACAAAAAGAATATAAGAAATTGCCGTGGCGTAAAGTAACAAGTAGATAGCAAAATTATAATGAAAATTTTAATGGGCTCTCTTTTCCTTGAAGCTTTCTTGTCGCGTGCTTCTGTGTCGTACGCAGTGATATACCGTGGATGAGAATTCAGTCAGTACACACCGTAAGAGAATAGACAGAATAACACAATCAAATATTTGCATTTTCACTCAAAATCGGAAATATTTCAATATTTTTGAATTTTTCTATCGTTGAATCCTCACATGGCCGGAGGCTGCATAATTTTCTTTCAATTTATTAATTTATTAACATAATCTACAATTGAACTCTGTGTGTGATGTACTGTGAGAAGTTTATTCTGTGCACGTTACTTTCAATTCTTCAATTCTGCCTTCCATATCCCACATACATGTTGAATTATAAACGCATTTGGAAATGAGTGTTTTGGGCAAGAATTGATAAAATATTCGCTTCCATCCAATAAACGTTATTTGCACTGGCAAATCTATTACACATTCTGGCTTATATCCCTCATCATACCTTTCGTGAATGAATCAAACTACTGCTGGGAATACGGAGAAATATTATGTAAATAATTATAATTCCATCTGAACTGCAGAACATATGCGCAGATAGCAAAGTAACAATAATGTCCAGAAGCAAAACAAGAGGCTTCCTCAGCATTCACTCAAAGGATCAGGATCGAGTTGGAAGTCATTGACCCAGAAGCCGAGGTACAATACTTGTTACAGAAAATCTAAAGAAATGGGCGACGCATGTCTAGATCCAGCGCAGGAGAAACCTCGGACTTCTGAGAAAGTTAGAACTCAAATTAATGAGAAATTTGCGAGGACATGACTGGTATTCTAGAGATTGGCTTTGCTTCATAAAATCTAGTGGTAGATTTCGCATTTTGCGATTAAATAATGAAGTTCGCTGACATTTGTCCGCTATGACGCTGCTATCCAATCGGGAGCTTGAACGAGAGCGCCACAGCTGACCAAGTGTCAACGGACTTCATGTTTTAATCGAAATGGAATACCGCCACTCTACCCGAATTTCTCCAAGCCATCGGTCTAGAAAAGTTGTGCGGTTACTATCGGAGATGGCCGTCGGGAGAAGCACGGCGTTGGCCGCTCCCAGCCACCGGTTCAAGCCGAGCTGAGACAGCCAGCAGCTTCTCGGTGCGCCCCGTCTGTCGGAGGGGAACAGCTTTCCTCTCCTTGCTGGGGGCCGTGTATTGTATATTGTCCAATTTACGTGGAGTGTCTCCTCAAGGTCACGAGCTGGAGTATTGAATATAGCGCTGTACCTATTGCAGATGATTATGCTGTTGGCATCGATTTTCAGACTTTCATATTCGATTGCGAACATTGTGTTGTAAGGCGAACTATTTTGAACATCTCTAGGATAACGTGATTTTTTTACAATTTCACACGACTTGTTCTTGTGAGTTTATAGAAAATAAAATGGTTTTCGAATCTGATGTACGTTTATTTTTATATATAACAATCGCCATCCCTGTCAACAGACGGGTAACTTCACTGAACGCATTAACTTTTGTTCCTACCGTGGCAGATTTGCCGTTAAGCTAGATAAGCTACAGCTAAGGGGCCTCAAAATCCAAAGCGCCTAAAAATGTGTTATCAAAATTACTAATTTGATAAAAATCTTTATAAAATATACTAATACAAATTTATAATTAGTTCCCTAAATAAATAAGTATTAAATAAATTTGGTAATACGCTACTGGAGTTAAAACGAAGTATTCTAACACCGACATTTTCAGTTCCTTGAACTTTTCGAGTGCGTGACAAATTCAGTTTCACCGAAATAAGTCACAGCGTTCAGAATGGCTGATTGAAATGATCTCTTTTCACATACGAGAAAATACATACGTATTCGAGCAAAAACATATTTGGTATATTCGAACACAAACATTGATGTGTATGTGCCACGTTGAAGTCACCTTTCAATTTTTTAAACTTTAATGCTTACAAATTATACAGGTGAAAGATCATTTAGTAAACTTAAAAATGTTAACAACTAGTATCGTGCTCTATTTTTTAAAAATTTATTAAAGCTTTTCAACTTCCTTAAGTAAGTTATTTGCTTTTCTTAATTTGTACATTACAAAACATTTTATACATACACTGATTTTGTATTTTACAATACATTAATAATTTTCATTAAAACAGTCGGTGTTAATTTCTCAGCATTACTTCAATTTTTGGCATTAATCTTACACTTTTATTTTAATATGATAACAGAAAAGTATATACGTATTTCATACCTGTACTATTGGGTTGGCTAAGGAACATTTTACGTTTATTGGTAAAAATATCTTAATCTTCTCCAGTCATGTAATTAAATATTCCCCCTCCTTTTTATATTTTGTACATTTCCATATTACATGATTTAGATCCTAGGTATGGTATTCACACGGGCACGTTGGATCAGATTCCAATTTAACTCTAAATAATAAAGAGTTTAAACAATAATGGCCTCGGATCACAATTGAAGCAAAATCTCTCTCAATAGATTTTCTACGAAACCAAGGTCTCTCTGCTTCTTTATAAAACGATGTAAAATATTCCTTGCTTTCGGTGTTAGCTGCTTGCTTAATACTTATGATCGTTTCCTTTAACGAGCTACTATGGGATAAGACACACTCAATTCACTAACAACAGTGTTCAGTAAAAATGATAATCTCTGAGGTTATCATTACTATTACTGATATTGTGAACAAAAAATCACATAAACGTCATTTTTATTCAGGTTTCTTTTTATTAATACTTATTATAGTCTTGAATTATATTTCAGCTAGTTTGACATAGATATAACACTTGTATTATAGACGATTGTCATCAACTTTTAAATTTAGAATTTGAATAACGTTATTTGAAGGATAAAGACATGTTTTAATTGATAAATGAATTTTGAGAAAAAAGCTTATAATCCTCATATCTCAAAAATATTATTGACAGGAAAAGGTGGGGCCTCAAACATTTTAGCTTCGATCCTCGAAAATGGCAATTCCGCCGCGGTCCCTACTTTCCTATTAATAAACACCGTATCATACTCTTTGTGCTATTAATAGAATGCTACTTGCTGAATATTTATCAACCTAATGAAAAAACGAAAAATTGAGTTACACCACTAGAAAATTAAGGGGCTTAAATATTACTTAATACAATCCCTCTCATTATATTAAACGATGAAATCATTCATAAATTGTTGTTAGTCAAAAATCAAATTTGTTGTGCATCCCTCCAAAAGATATCAAAATGTTTCTATGATGTGAGAAAGAAAAAGGATGAGCCTGAGATTTTAGTTGTTAAATTAATATAGGTGTTGTGGTAGGATATCTTTGGCATTTTTAAAATAATTAAAGATGTTGTCATTGACAACATCTTTAATTATTGTTAAATTAAACTCACATTTTTCGCCGGAAGACATAATGAGTATTTGATGCATCTATTTATAAACCATCGGTTTAAGAACAAATCCCAAATAATGTCTGGGAATAGGAAGGAACTATTGTCGCAACCACTTGATATCTAATTTAATGTACGTTGTACATGCCATCAAAACGTGAGTGCTCATCGGTTCAATTTGTTGGCTTTTATGACTGTCTGGAAAGCCAATATGGGAAGAGTGATTGACATGAGAGTATTGTGGGTCATAAAAAGACAGAAGGTTCTGTAGAGAGTTCATCAATAACAAAGTATCAGCCAAGACTGAGTAATAAATTAAGCGAAAAGCACATTACCAATAATAACTTGATTTTATTGCCTAGGGATGTCTCTGCCAATATTATAGAACGTACTCATCATTCTTTATGTCAATTATTAAATTCAAATCTTTAGTTTGCAGAGGAATCGTTTTTACGAACTACAAATAGCTCCACGACCTCTGACGAATTGAGGTCATCCTTCATAATGATATTATGTCTTGTTTGTTTTCACGGCTATAACAGCCTTTTTCTCAGAATACGTAGGTTATTTTCCATTAAAATAGATACGAACTTCTGATATCTGAAAGAGCTGCCACTTGCCTTTTAAATTGAAAATATTAAAATGCTTTCTTGTTTTATAGTTGTATCTGACATTACTTGCCCAATATGTTTCCAAATAATGTTTTAAAAGTTTTACTTCTGTCAGGCTTCAACTTTAATATGAATTATGATCGAAACCGATCATAATGAGATCGATTTCGATCTCAGTTATGATCGAAACATATCTATCGTCTACTACTACTGCATGCAAATTTGTTTAAAGGAATTCTGCAATACATATGTTATAATTTAATTATTCATTGCATAAACAGACGTTAAACTCAATAGTTTTTAGGGGCGACCAGAAAGGGGGTAGCTGGGGCAACTTACCCTAGGCCTCGACTTAATTGGACCCTGATTTTTTTCTTTCAAAACAAATAAAAAATGTATTTGTCTGTAATCCAAATTTACCGCTAGAAGTTATTTCTGATGCATGTAGAAATGGGCTCTATTTATGAATTGGAGAGGAGGGATTTTTTGTATGAAATGAGGGGCTTCCGTGGATCAACTGCCCCAGGCCCCCTGTTTTTTTTTCTGGGCGCCGCTGATAATTTTGGTGTCTAGTTCTCAATGCAGTCCACTCACGGCAAGTTGAGGTGTAGTGCGAAAGGTTTATACCAATGCGTATTGATGTTGCAGTACTGTGATTAGATAATTCTCTTTGGAACGCGTGCGTGCCGCGGGAAATCGTCCAAAGCGGCGTGCCTGCGACATGCTGCTTGTGCCAGGCAACGAGAGCGTTGGCGAGCTGCGGCCAATTTGGCCTTGCCTGTCCCCCGAGCCCCTGACACGCCGCTCAAAGCTTCAATAAAGCAGCTCTGTCTGCACCTGACATTCTGGCATGGACAGTCGCTCTGTACTTGGGCGGCAGGTAACAGACGGTCTTGCTATTCAACTTGTGAAGATAGTGCTGTAAGATGTTTATTTGTAGAAATGAAACTAATCGTGAATTTTATGCGATAAGAATACACATCCAAAAACCTTAGCTTGTTTAATTCCACGAATATTCTGTTTTTCGAATGTATTGTGTACTACATGGTTGTATTACATATGTTCTTGTATAATATATGAATTTGCAATAATAATATTATTATTGCCGATACATTTCCATTACAAAAATAAGAAGGAAACATTGAGCGATTTTGAACTAACCTTCCTATTGACTAATACTCGTACAATCAAACATGCTCATTCTACTTTAAACTCTAAAAACAAGTTGGAGAAACATTATAATGAGAATTATGTTATGGCATTTTTACAGAGGTAACAGTTGTAAAAAATCTTCAAGCTGTATGTTCTACCTAAAATAAAATTAAGATTAAATAAAATGGGCTAAAAATAATTTGGACTCTGAAAGTTGCTACATTACTGGCATTTTGTAATTTCAAATTGTTCTCAAGGGTCGCGCTATTCGTCGATTCAAGGATTAACACGGTCCTTCCCTAGTTTTATAAATGAACTATCATTGAAACTGTGGAGAAAATTCGCGAAGTTCTGGAACATTTTTTTTTAAGTTTTCCCAGAGCTTTCTACCAAGTTTTCTCGTCATAGAATTCGATGGCAAGGTGCTAGTGCGTAAAATACGCTGTGACCGGGATGGATGTGATCAAATTTTACAGGTTTTTTACATTTCTTCTCGTGATTGTATTAGTGATGGCATTATTAAGACCAATCCACTTGTGAAGGAGATAAGTTTGTAAAAATATATAGAAAATTTCCAGGAAGGGGCAGGAAGTTAGGTGAATTTAAACAACTAATAATATAAATATATTTTAATTATTTGAATAAAAGGGGTTGTCATTGCTAAGATTTTTCACCATTACATTATCAGCTTTTATTAACTTAGCCTCGTCAGTTCTGACACAAAATAAATTAAACATTTTTGTAATAAAACGATACAAAAAGATAAACAAATACTTTCGTAAATATATTTTTAATTTAACACGGGGAAACGAACATAACAGAAAAATGAAGAAACAGAAGAAAGAGGGCGAAAAATCTGTATTATAATACAGATTGTAATTTAATCAATTGAAGATTTTTTAATGAAGAATGAAAAGATGGAAAATAAGATTTTACGTCATTAATGAAGAAGAATTAAAAATAAAATGTGCATGAGTTTCATGCAAAATGCCCTCAGAAGTGAAAAGATGTTTTCAAATTTGCAAACCCTGAGTTACTGTCAGATGAATTCTAGAAAATCCATTTCGGAGAACATTCTACGTCTAAGACGCTAGTGCTGTTTACACACGGGCAGAAGAACATTCAGACGAAGAAGCAGAAAACCCCAAAAAGTCTTGTTTATTCATCAAAACCTCGACATTTTTTTTCGGCATTAAACATTACTTTTCTGTGTACATATATAAAATTAAACTTTCAAACTTTTTATTTCAGACTACCATTGCACAGCGTAAATAACATCCAAATCGAAGAGGAACCCTTGGCGTGACCTTGTTGCCATTCCTCGCGTGAAGGTCGCACTCCAAGACGGCTGGCAGGCTGCAAGTCGCAGCGCGGATGCCCGCCCAGCTGATCCTCGCAGCAGTGATCGTAAGCGCAGGGCGATTAAACACACGGCGCGCGAGCGGCCGGTCGGATGGGTGGGCGAGGGGAGGGGGGCG